TATCCAGAGAAAAAAGATATGTTGCATACAGAGAAAAAAACATAAAGATAACAGCAAGTATCTTATTGGAAACAATGTAAGTGGGAAGACAACAGAAAAAATATCTTTAGAGTACTGAAAGGAAAAAGATTGTCAGCCTAAAATTCTATACCTAGTGAAAGTAGTTTTCAAACTGAAGGCAGAATGCATTTTCAGACACATAAAGCTGAAGAATGCATCACCATCAGCATCAGATACACATCACACACACGCACACACACACACACAAAAGTTGAAGTTCTCAGGCAGAAGAAAAGTTATTGCTACCTGAATAGAGAGATATAAGATTTTTCTTATTATTTAAACATCTCTAAAAGTAATTGATTCTTTAAATGAAAATAATAATAATATAATATGGACTTTTTAAAATATATGAAAGTAAAATATATGGCAATAATAATGTATGACAAAGATCAAAGTGGAAAAAATGGAAAGTGTATTGTTGTAAAGTTCTTATAATATCTGTGAAGTAGTGAAGTATCACTTCAAAGTAGACTATGATCAGTAAATCATGAATAGAATAAGCCTTAAAACAAGGCAACTAGTGGGAGCTCTGGTGGTGTAGTGCCTAAGGCATTTGACTGCTAACCAGAAGGTTAGTGGTTCAAACCCACCAGCCACTCCTTGGAAGGAAGATTACATAGAGATACCCCTGTGGAAACCCAAGAAAAGGTTGCTATGAGTTGAATTGATTCAATGGCAGTGGGTTTGGTTTGGGTTTTTTTGTTTTTGTTTTTTGTTTTTTAAGACAATTAATAAAATAATAAAACAAAGAGTTATAGCTGTAACTAATAAGCCAACATAAGAAATATATCTATTATTTCCAATCAAGATGGAGAAACCACATTGTAATTTGAACAGGAAAAGTTTAATGTAAGGTATTATTAACTGTAACAGGAGGTTGAAGTACCAACTAAAGGAAACTCTAAAATATATAGGAATATCAGCTATAAGGAACAGCCACTGCCCTAGCACTGCGATAGCGCACCCACAGGAGAAAAAAAAAAACAAAAAACCAACTCACTGCTGTCCTGCCGGATCCGACTCATCGCGACCCCTCCTTGGGTTTCTGAGGCGGTATCACTGCAAAAGTAGTAGCCCAATCTGCCTTCCAAGGAGTGGCTGGTGGGTTTGAACTGCCAGCCTCTATGTTCCTCTCCTGACTGAACACAGTTGCAGAAGCGATGGCTGTGGAAGGTAGAGAAGACTGTGCTGATAAGCTGCTGGAAAACAACTGTCTAGGGTGCCAGAAAAATCTTCATGGGAAGTGTCTCAGGAAGGCACTCTGCTACCAAACCGGCTCAGGGTGGACTAAGGCATGGCTGGTGTGTGCTGTAGACCATTATGAAGTGCAGAAGCCAGGTGTTGGAGTAGCTGTCCATATGGCTGAAGCCTGGAGCTGTAAAACCCACCTACATGGCAGGAAGTCGGCACTGGGGAAGCTGTGTGTGCTACAGAAACCAGATGCTATGGGAGCTCTGGTAGCATAGTGTCTAAAGCACTTGACTGCTAACCAGAAGGCTGGTGGTTCAAACCCACCAGCCACTCCTCGGAAGGAAGGTTGGGCAATCCTACTTCCCGTAGTGATACTGCCTCGGAAACCCAAGGAGGGGTCATGAGTCGGGGTCGACACGACGGCACATAACAACAACAACAAGGGAACTGTATGTGCTACTGGACTCTGAGAAAGACATATGTGCCTCAGTACTTGAGCATGCCACATGTACTGCCGGAGCCAAATACTGAAAAAACCCTAAATATTGCAGGAGTCCGCCTAGCAAGCATATCGGAAATTGGAAGGAAAAAGCATTTTTGCCTGCAGTGTCTCTCCGGCGCCCTCTACTGACAAAGTTTAATATCATAACTGTTGGCAATGAGACTACATGAAGGGCCCATTGTTAATTTTTTCAGGAAACCTGGTGGTACAGAGGTTAAGCCCTTAGCTACTAAATGAAAGGTCAGCAATTCAAACCCACTAGCTGCTCCGTGGGAGAAAGATGTGACAGTGGCTTCTGTAAAATTTACAGCCTTGGAAAAGCTGTGTGGCAGTTCTATTACGTCCTACAGGATTGCTGAGTCAGAATTGACTTGAAGGCAGTGAGTTTATTAATTTACTAAGAGGATACGATAATGGGTGGATTGGAACTGGCAAGCAATAAATTGAGGATTGGCACAGGATACAAGACACAATCATAAAAATAATTAATTTAAAAGAAGGCAGAAAAAAATGAAAGGGGGAGACAACGAACAGGTAAAAGCAGTGCAAAAATAATGATAGATCTCAATAAATGTAAAGATATATTTCATTCACTGGCCAGAAGACATAATGTTGTTAATATTTCAGTGTTTCCCAAATTGATCTATGAATCTAATGCAATCCCAATCAAAATCTCAGCAGGCATTTAAACTTCATGTGGAAAACAGAGGACCTATGATAGTCAAAACAACTTTGAAAAAGAAGAAAACATTAGAGGACTAGTACTACCTGACTTCAGCACTATCAACCAACACCAATAACATAAAGCTATAGAAATAAAGACAGTGTGGTGTTAGTGAAAAGGTAGATAAAATAGGTCCAAGGAACAGAATAGAAAATCCAATAATATATAAAGAACTCTCAAAATTCAATAATAAGAAAATGAGAAACTCAACTTAAAAACTTGGCAGAGGATTTGAGAAGATCCTTCACCAACAGGTATAACTAAAGACAAATATGCACATGAAAGGGTGTTTAACATCATTAGTCATTAGAGCAGTGCAAATTAAAACCACAGTGAGATAATACTACACATCTATTGGAATGGCTAATACTAAAAAGAATAACCCTAACAAGTGTTGGTGAGGATGTGGAAGGATTGAAAGTCTTACAAATCCAAAACTTGTTGCCATCAAGTCAATTCTACTTCTAATGACCATGTAGGATAAAATAGAACTGCCCATAGGATTTTCAAAGCTGTAAATCTTTATGGATGTAGACAGCCTCATCTTTCTTCCACAGAGTGGCTAGTAGATTCTAATTGCCAACCTTTCAATTGGCAGTCAAGTACTTAACCACTGTGCCACCAAGGCTCCCTCAAAAGTCATATACAGAGCTTTATTTTTCCCTTTATAAAACTGTTTGGTTGTTTCTTTAAAAATTAAAAGTACACCTGCTGGGTTATCCAGTGGTTCCACTCCTAAGTACTTACCCAAGAGAAGTGAAAGCCTCTGTCCTGACAAAAATTTGTGCATAAATGCACAGCTTTGTTGGTAATAACCAAAAAGTGGGAACAACCCAAATGTTTTTCAAAAGATGAATGGCATATCCACACTACTGCTCAGCAGTAAAAGAGTCTTGGTGATATAGTGGTTAAGTGCTTGACTGCTAACTGGAAGTCACCAGTTCAAACCCACTGGCCCCCACAGGAGAAAGAGGAGGCATTCTGCCTCAGTAAAGATTTACAGCCTTGGAAACCCTATGGAGCAGTTCCTTTTGTCCTACAGAGTCTCTATGAGTTGGATTTGACTCTACAGCAGTGGGTAGAGCTCAGGAGTAAAAAGAAATGAACTGTAGATACATACAACTACTTGGATGAATCTCAAAATAATTATGCTAAGTGAAAAAAACAAGACACCCCCTCCACCTCCAAAAAAAGACATCTTATCATTCTGTTTATGCACAGTTCTGGGAAATGCAGACTAATGTATCAAAAGCAAAACCAAACTCACTGCCATCGAGTTGATTCTGACTCATAGCAACACCTCCTTGGGTTTCACAGGTGGTATCGCTACAGAAGTAGATTGCCCAGTCTTCCTTCTGATGAGTGGCTGGTGGATTTGAACCACCAGGCTTCTGGTTAGCAGTCAAATGCTAGTGACAGACATATTAACAGTCATCTGAAGATGGGGAGTAGAATGATGAGGAAGGATGGGAGAAAAGGATTACAGAAAAGCATGAAGAAACTTTTAGGGGAGGTGGATATGTTTATTATCTTGATTGTGTGATGGTTTCATGAGTGTACATTCTGTCAAGACTTATGGAATATTATACTTTAAAAAGTAAAGTTTACTATAAGTCAATTATACCTCAATAATGGGAAATCTACTTCCATAGTGATACTGCCTCGGAAACCCAAGGAGGGGTCGCTGTGAGTTGGATCCGACTCGATGGCACACAACAACAACAACAACAATGCTCTTTTTAAGGAGCTCTGGTGGGGTAGTGGTTAAGGCATTTGGTTGCTAAACAAAAGGTTGGTGGTTTGAATTCAGCAGCTCCTCCACAGAAGAAAGATGAGGCAGTCTGCTTCCATAAAAATGTACAGCCTTGAAAACCCAACACGGTATGAGTCAGAATCAACTCAATGGCAGTGAGTTTGGTTTGGTTTGGAATACTCTTTTAAAAAATCATTTTTCCTTCTAAACTAACACTCTATTGTGTTAACTTATATGCCCAATTTGACCATTTGGATCACATAGCCAAGTTACTGAAATAAACAGCTAGCTAAGCAGGACACAGGAACTTTATCTGAAGAGTATTTCGAGGCATTAATCATGTTACTTAGAGACCTCAAGTAGCTTTCAGTGTGTGATGATAGTGTACAATTAAAATCTTCAAATGTTCTGCCAAAAATTCAAAAACCAAAATAAGAGCACACCACCAAAGTAGGTGATTCTATGTGTGAGGTGAATTATATGTAGACTTTTCCACAGAAAGAGCTGAACTCTTCTTTTAACAGTCCAAAACACATTCAACAGAATAGCCACTTTTTTTTTTTTTTAATGTGTTAAAACAAGCCATCTATTTCTCAGGTAAGTGAGAAATTGATTTAGTAGTTGAGAGTGGAATTGTAAGAGCTTATCTCTCCTCTCCTCTGCTGTTTAATATTATTACGTATGTCTTTACTTTTTCACAACTGGTTTGATTCACAGCATAATGATCCAGGGTTCCTCTCTCTTTCCTCTGTGTTTTAATACACCAGGTGCATCGTCAAGATCACTGGAGAAATGGTATTGTCCTTTCCTGCCGGCATCACCAGACACTTTGCCAACAACCCATCCCCCGCTGCTCTGACTTTTCGGGTGATGAATTTCAGCAGGTTAGAACACGTCCTGCCAAATCCCCAACTTCTCTGCTGGTAAATATGATTTTGCACAAATTTTTAGAAATGTGTGTGGCTGAGTGCTTTGTACCTAGAAGAGGGATAAACCTTGGCAGTGGAGAAGCACATTAGAGAAAGCACCACTGTTATAATGGACCCATCGTGCAAACGTAAAACTTTCACAGGTTGTCAGAGTTTTGTGAATTTGTGTTTGTGTGTGTGGCTGCATATGCATTTATCTATTTTAATGGCCTACTATCTCAAGTGGATAAAGAGACATTTAGAGTAATAAAATTTACTCATTGTAATAAAATTTACTCACTGTCTACTTTTCACTGGTAGACAATGAATGACAATGATGGGAAAGAAGCCCAATAGCAAGAATAAAATCCTTTTGGTGAATTAGCATCTTTTTAAATCAAATGATTTTTTGAATTATGAGCCGCTCTTCACATGACCTTGACATATTTTTCATAAAATTCATTGTAATTGTACTGTTTTGATGCAACTTTACAAGTATGGCAAAAAAAGAAGCTTGTGTCAATTTGTTTCTATGAATATAATCTTTCACATCTTCTAAGTATTAAGCCTGAATATCATCATGTCATTACCATATGTATTCATGTGCACATTCACAAATTGCATACATATCAAAATCAAAACCAAACTCAACTGCCATTGATTCTGACTCATAGTGATGCCCATTGGGTTTCCGAGGTGGTAAATCTTTATAGAAGTAGATTGCCCAGTTTTCCTTCCATGGAGTGTGCTTGAACTGCCAACATTCTGGTTAGCAGTCAAATGCCTTAGGCACTACACCACCAGAGTTCCTTGTACATACATATATGATATTAAAAATGATCAATTATATCAAGTTAATTATTTGCAATGGCTGAGACAATGGCATCATTCTTTTCTTTCCCCCATGTTTTATTTTTTATTTGTAAACATCCATTTTATTCTTATAAATTTTACTCAAACTTGTTTCAGTATGGGTCTATACTTTATAGCAGTGAAACACTGCATGATATATTATGACAGGGCAGTGTCTCATTCTGTTGTACATAGCATCACTATGAGTTGGAGTCAACTCTACAGCACCTAACAACAATAACAACACCTTTCACATTCAAAGTTTTACTGTCTCTGAAATTAATTTTACATGCATTCTTAGATAAGCACCTTCCTTAATTTTTCTTTAAGCCAAATTTCAAAATACTATTTAATAAATAACTTCCAATCTATTCCAGTCTATTATTCCAATCTTCTGTATATTAAAGTTTAAATAATAGAATCTGTCTCTATTACATTTTCTATCTATTTCTACAGATTAGATTAACCATAGAGTTTAAATTGCTTTACATTTATGTTATTTATGCTAAATGACTCATTTACTCTAAATCTGTGGTCTTTCTTAATAAACCTGTCTTGGATATTATCTTATGTTTATTTTTTCAGATTTACTTTTGAGTCACTTTACCAAATAGTGTAGCAACACTTCTTAAACTTAGAACTGTATTTAGCTTACAAATTAATTTGGGATAAATCATAATTTTCACAAAATGGAAAGAGCCTCTCCGGGTACCCAGCTGAGCTCTCCTTTTATTTATTTAACTTTTTATTGTGATTTGTGTGCAATTTTACAAAGCAGATTTGTTTTACAGTCAACAGCTCATATACATTTTGTTTCGTGACACCGATTACAATCACCATAATGTAACAGCTCTCCTCCTACCACCTGTGTAGTTCCCCCTTCCCTGTCTTTCTTACCTATGCGTTCCTGCCTACCTAGGTTTCTCCCTGTGCAAATACTGCCTTTCTGATCTCTTATGGTTGACTGTTCTAGGGAGTGCATCTACCTGGTGTAGATGTTCAGCTTGTAGCCCTCTCTATTGTTTGGCTGAGAGTCGAGCCATGAGAGTGAGTCTGATTCCAGGCCTGAAGGGTGATTGCGGCCATAGTCCCAGGGATTTCACCAGTCTCTGTCTGACTAGTAGTCCTTGTCTTTTTTATATTTTTTAATTTTGTTCCACATTTTTTTCTCCCACTCTGTCCAGGATCTCCAATTTTTATCCTTTTCCAAGTGGTTGGCATTGGTAGCTGGGTACCATGTAGTTCTTCTGGTCTCAGGACCATGTAGGCTGAGGTTCCTGTGGTCCGTTAGTCTCTTGGACTAATTGTTTCTATGTGTCTTTGGTTTCCTTCACTCTTTTTAATCAAGGAGAAACTAACAGTTGCATCTCAGATGGTACTTACTAACTTTTAAGACCCTAGTCACTACTCACCAGAGTAGGATATAGAACAATGTTTTTGTGTACTGTGTTGTGCCAATTGAGCTTGATGTCCCCCAAGACCATGGTTTCGAGCCCACAGGCCCAGTGATTCACTCTCTTAAGGTGCTTGGTTGTGTCCTCTGTTAGCTCTATAAAGTATATTGACATTTTTGTAGCACATACAAACACCTATGTAGAAATATTGTCTTCCCAAGCTATATATGTTCCTGAGTATAGTCCCATTCACCTACCCATACCTGTTCATCTGGCCAGACTACCTATGTATCCACTTTTAGATTAATGTTTATTATTACTGATAATGAACAATTGTGTATGTAATAGTATCTACCTTTGTTGTCTGTAACTCTTCTGCACCTCTCCCTGTCATCTTTTTCCTCAGTGATATTGTGCTGGTCACCCCCTTTTTGTATATTGCCTTTCCCTTCACTCAAATTAATACATGTCTCTTATCTAGTTAGTGATTTCTGCCCCCCACCTTCCCATTCTGGGTAACCATCAAAGATGTTTCTTTCATGTAAATTTTTCTTTGGCTTTTTATAATAGTAGACACAATTTTTGCTATTTTGTGATTGACTTATTTCACTCAACATAATGCCCACCAGGTTCATCCATGTTACAAGATGTTTCATGGATTCTTCATTCAATATTCTTTAACATTGTATATATTCCATTGTGTATATGTACCATAGTTAGTTTATCCATTCATTCATTGATGGACATTTAGGCTGTTTCCATCTCTTTGATATTGTGAATAATGCTGCAAGCTCCATAGGCTCTTCAATGGCTGATTTTTTTTTCAAAAGTAGACCACCAAGCCTTCCTTCTGAGGTGCCTCTGGGTGGAACTTTCAACCTTACAGTTAGCAGCCAAGTGTATTTACTATTTGTACCACCCAGAGACTCCTTGTGAATTGAACATCACTCTGTTTTTACTTGACTGTTAGCAGCCATTGATTCCAATGATCTGTTGCTGGATATTAACTCTGCACCCCTGTCAAACAGTTAACTGAAAGTTTGGAGGTTTGAATCCACCCAGAGGCACCTCAGGAGAAAGGCCTGCAATCTGTCTCCAAAAAAGCAGCCTGTAAAATCCCTATGGAGCACTGTTCTGTTCTGATTACACATAGTGTCACCATGAGTCAGAATCAACTCACAGAAACTGATTTGGTGTATGTATTTGTGTGAGGGTTTTTTGTTTTGCTGGGTTTTTTGTTTTTTTGTTTTGTTTTGATACAGTGAGAAGATATGAGCTCTAATAAGATTGACCTGGGTAAAATCTAGACTCTATTACTTATTAGCTGTGTTTGTTGTTGTTGTTGTTGTTGTGTGCCATCGAGTCGGCCCCAACTCATAGCGACCCCTCCTCGGGTTTCCGAGGCAGTATCACTACGGAAGTAGGATTGCCCAACCTTCCTTCCTAGGAGTGGTTGGTGGGTTTGAACCGCCAGCCTTCTGGTTAGCAGTCAAGTGCTTTAGCCACTATGCTACCAGAGCTCCCTCATTAGCTGTGTAACCTTAAGCAAATTACTGAATTTTATTGACCCTCTGTAATCTTATCTCTCATCTCCTGTCTCCTGTCTCCTGTCTCCTTTCTCTGAAAGCTTGGGTAACTTACATGTTTGTGGATAATAAAAGTTTGGGCAGCCCTAATCCGCATCCTTAGCTCAGTTTGACTCAGGGCAAAGTCTCAGGGGGCGAGGAGTCTTTTCCATCCTCTTCCTATATGCCTAGAATCACAAAGCTTTGCTCTGTTCTTAAAAACCTTATGCCTGGGCATAGCAGAATCATACTGGTCATGCTGAGACTTGGCCTCCAAAAACCACTCTCTCCTAACAGGTCAGTAGCAATTTTAAGGCCTTGCTGTTTTTTGGACTCAGCTTTCTGATTCTTTTGACCTCCAGAGGCTGAATCATAGCAGTTTATTTTTGATCTGCCCTCTAATCTTCCACTTTCCCCTTTCCCTTTTCTCAGACTCTAATTTTCTCTTTTTATAGTAAGTTTGCTCATCTTTTAAAGTGAGGATAATAATTCTTCTTCTGTAGGGTTGATTTTCATGAAATAATTTGGAATGCATCTGTTAGAGTGCCTAACACATAATAGATGCTCAAGAAAGTATAGCTTCTATTATTGTATTATAGGTTATTCTGAAAATGAAATATCAGTAAATATTGTCTCTTAAATTATAATCACATGGGGGCTCAGTTTCCTCATTATGTGGGAAGTGAGCAGTTGTTTACACACTTTTGCCTATGCTTTTTGTCACTGATGTCAAGCATTCACAAGATGGATTGTGTGAATGGTCTGTGGACAGGCCTCTGAACAAATGTGACAGTCTCATAGGGAGATAAAACTTCTTGCTTCAAGACTGAACTCTCTTTTTCTGTTATAACTACCATGATTACTAGCATTTACATTCTAAGATCACCTTCTAAGTGAAATAAATTTTATGATTTGGATGCTTCTCAAATTAAATATTGTCTGTGCTGAAAAGCATAGTAATTTTAGGATGGTCCTTTTCTCTTTAGTTGATAATAGAGATTATGCTTACATTTGGCCAAAATATTTAACTCAGTAACTTCTGTGAAATTACTGGTCAAGTCAATTAAAAAGAAAATCAATGTACTTAGCCCTTTGATTTCATTAACTGACTAATTCAGATTAAAACATTTGATGATGTAGAAAAGACTATTAAGTTTGTGTTAATAAATAATTTACTCTGCAAAGCAACCAATTATCATCATAATAGATTAGTATTACTGAGTACTCACTGGGATTTAAAGCAATACAATAGTGCCCTATGGATATTAATCTGTTAACATGGCATAATACCATTCAGAATCATATTTGTACTAAAACTGCACTACTGTTAATAAAATAATCTCTAGGAATTCTGAAAGATGGATATAGACATTTGGTATCCATTTGCTAAGATGCTTCTTGTGTGGTTTATATTTGCTTTGTTACAAGATGCTACTCAGTGATTTTTTTCTTCCCAATTGAACAGCGATAATACCCAAAGTGATGCCAATAACAAGGAATTCTGGGTAAACATGCCAAATTTGATGACTCACCTAAAGAAAGTATCTGAACAGAAACCCCAGGCTACATATTATAATGTGGACATGCTCAAATATCAGGTAATAATAGTAAGTAAAGTAACATCTCTTTTAATATTACAGTCATGTGTTGCTTAACATCCACGATAAGTTCTGTAAAATAAGACGTTATATGATTTATACATTGTGTGAATACCACAGTATATATAGGCAGTCCCTGGGTTGTGAACATCTGACTTATGTATGACCTATAGTTACAAACCAACCCCTGTAAAGCCTGTCATATTAAAAATTTGAGTTACGTACAATGGTTCATAAAAACAAATGGGTACGAATTTGCAGTGACATCCACTACATTCCTTTCTCCAATCAGGATTTATGAACTCTATTATAGCCTTATGGTTATTGAATGATATATATTATGATAATATAACATATGACCGTGGACATATATGTTGTCAAACATTGCCTGAATGGACATGAGCAGCACATGACTATACTTAAAATCTATAATTTATAAGAAAATAAAAACTTTAAATGACTAATTAAGGACTATTGAATAGAATATTTACATATATCCTTATTAGTTTAAACTTACCTATAAATATTTTACTTAAAAAAATTAAAGACACATGCTACAAAAAAAATGAAGTTGCAGAAAACTACAGCAATTATAATTATAGATATTGGAAACTAAATCACTGTAACATTAAAGACATTACTAAACTAATATCTCTTATTTTTAATGGTTAAATATAAGAAATCTGAATTTTTTTCTAAGTTGATAGTCCTATGGTATAGTTCTAATAAGATTTATTTTAAGAAATAATTTGATGTTTAAAGGTTTGATACAACACAATACAATATATGAGAACTTATTATGTCTAGGATTACCCTTACCTCAAATTACTACCTGTTTCCAATCAGGTCTCAAAGGCAAGAAATAGTACAAATTTCAATTTCTGAGTATCCCATTGAGTCAGAGCCACGTGATCATCTAGATTATTTTTAATGCATTGTAGTTTTGTGATTAAATATGGTTGAATTATTTTCTTAAGATGAGGGAATAATTGTTATTTTTAATAGCTGTGTACTTGCTAAAGGGACATGGAGGTGGCATCTTTTGACCACCTCTAACTACACAAGAAGAAGACAGAATCACTGTTAGCAGCCCCAGGCCTGTTCCTATGAGGTCAGACATGCCACCGTCCTCCAGCCCTCTTACCAACCTTGACACCAACCATCCCTCCTGTGTACCCACCACCTCTTTGCTGGGTTCAATAATTTGCTGCAGTGGCCACACAGAACTCACAGATTATGGGGTTCATTAGGGAAGCAACAGGCTAAAATTCAAGTTCAGGAAAGTGCTCAGGATGCAATTCTTTGATCAGGACAGTGTCCCCTCTGCTGTGCCCTTAGACATGCTCTCTGGCCCTTAGCCTCTTGGCCTGGCCTCTACCCCTGTGGGCCAGGTAAGCCTGCTGCTCTGTCCCATGCATCTTGGTTCCACTGCAACCATCTCTCAGTCAAGTGTCTCTCTCAACCATGTGTCTCTCCCAGCCAGGCATCTCTTTCAGCCAGCAGTGAGATTTTTCACCTCTGCCTCTAAGAGGGCTCATTTTAAGCCTGGCAGAGTGGCAAAACTAACCAATCCTAACATCAGAGTTCTACACACCTGAGAGAGAGCTAACTTTCCCAGAAGTTTCTCATGCTGCTCCAACAGAAATACCCCAGGTGGATGACTTTAACAATCAGGAGTTTAAAAGCAGATACTCAGTTGCTCAGGGCAAATTCTACCACTGAGTTAATTATCAGTCTTATTATAGGAAATAATACTACCAGCTGCCCAGCCAATCTGACAGATATCTGCATGGCCCCACCCAGTAATCTGGGAGCTCTGGTGGCACAGTGCCTAAGGCATTTGACTGCTAACCAGAAGGGTGGTGGTTGAAATCCACCAGCCACTCCTTGGAAATAAGGTTGGGCAATGTATTTCCATAGTGATACCTCCTCAGAAACCCAAGGAGGGGTCACTATGAGTTGGATCCGACTCAACAGCAGTGAGTTTTTTTGTTTGTTTGTTTTTGTTTTTTTACCCAGTAATCTGATGGGAGTTACAAAGACTATGGCTAGAAAAGCCATATCATGCAACTTACTATACCATAGTAGTTTAATAGAAATCAATGCATCTTAAACCTCATTGCACAGTACAATCAGTTGGGAGCTTGTAAACAAATGCTGGTTCGGAATTGGTACCAAAAAATATCAAAATATATTTGCTGCCCCTCCCACACTCAGATTCTGATTTAATTGATTCAGGGTGGAACCCAGATATCTGTATTTTTTATAAGTTCTCCAGGAGGGGTCGCTATGAGGTGGGTCCGACTTGATGGCACATAACAACAATAACAACCAGTATCTATAATGCACACTGCACGTTGAAACTTATTTATTTAAATTACTGGGAGGAAGCTATTGAAAATCAGTTACCTATTGCTGTTGTTGTTGTTATGTGCCCTTGAGTCGGACCCGACTCATAGCGACTCCTCCTTGGGTTTCCGAGGCAGTATCACTATGGAAGTAGATTGCTCCATCTTCTTTCTGAGGAGTGGTTGGTGGGTTTGAACCGCCAGCCTTCTAGTTAGCAGTCAAGTGCCTTAGGCACTACGCTACCAGAGCTCCCAAGTTACCTATATCATCTCAAAAACTCTCAAATTCACTGCCATTGAAGCAGATCCAACTCACAGTGACCCCTCCTTGGGTTTCCAAAGTGGTATCACTATGGAAGTAGATTGCCCAACCTTCCTTCCAAGGAAGAGCTCCTCCTATATCATCTATTTTTAAAAAGAAAAAAAAATCCAAACAAATGTAATGCTTTATCATCTAAATTTTGGACATTATAAATAATATTATCAAATGTGTATGTGATGCAAAATATATAGCTTTTCTAATTAAAATAGAAAATGCTTTTTAACTTTTTTCTCAAAACATTTGAACATGTTTAATAACTAAGCTTCTGAGAGAAATGAGTGAAGAAGGGAAACTCCAGTGTATTTTTTCTCTGAAGGGCAAATTCAATTTCAGGGCACATGAATCGCATGAGTGATTCTCATCCCCAAACAGACGAATGTAAAACTGTGCTTGAATCCCTTTGTGAACTCTGATTACAAACACTGCATCTACATTTTCACTTCAGATAAAAATTTCTTGAAATTTTTATATCCTGTGTGTTTTTAATCTCTGTATTTGTTAGTAAGTGAGCCTGGAAAATAGGCAGAATTCACCTATTGCAGTATGAGCTTGATTTAAAGTACCAAGGTGTAGACAACAGACTGAATTAGGTCTGCTTTCTACACTCCATGTGACCTTGGACACTTTAATCTTCCTGAACCTTAGTGTCCTCATCTGCAGATAAGAATCACAGTCACACCTAAGTAGATACTTCATGGGTTGTTTTGAGATGCTTGTTGTTGTTGTTGATAGTTAGCATTGAGTCAATTCAACTTATGGCTACCCAAGTGTGCATAGTAGAACTGCTCCATAGGGTTTTTAAGGCTGTGACCTTTTGGAAGCAGAGCACCAGGCCTGTCTTCCCAGACACCTCTGAATGGGCTCTCCAACCCCCAACTTAACTATTTGCACTACTTAACAATTTGCCCCACCCAGAGGCTCCTTGGGAGATGCTAATGTTGTTGTTGGGTGCCATGAAGTCCGTTTTTAGCTCATAATGACTCAATGTGACAGAGTAGAACTGTCCCATAGAGTTTTCTAGATTGTAATCTTTAGCAGAGCAGATTGCCAGGTCTTTTCTCCAACAGAAATGCTGGGTGGGTTCAAACCACTGATCAATAGGTTAGCAGCCAAGCACCTTAACCATTGCCTTATTAGGGCTCCTTGAGATGTTAATGTTGTTGTTGTTGTTGTTATGTGCCGTTGAGTC